CCCTTCCTCTCCCGCCCCTTCCCCCTAGTTTTTCCCCTCCCTTACCTTCTGCCTTCCACTTTGCGGGGCCAGAGTCTGCACTCGGGCCCCAGATTCTGAAGCCGGAGCTAGGTCGAGTGGTGCCATGCGGCGCCGAGCAGTTTTAAAGTCCTGGGCCGTGACGTCACATCATGGACAGCAGCAGCTGGCAGCGCGTGCCGGCAAGGAGGAGCTGGACTGAAAGCTGTGCATGGCAGGGATGGGTCCGGGTCCAGGGGGGACGCTCTGAGGCCAGGGTGGGAGGACGCGTGGGGGGGGGCCGGGAACCGCTCCAGGCAGAGCCAGGGAAGAGACCCAGCTCCAAATATTGCTGGAGCAGGGCCCCCGGCTCTGAATATTAACTTGCTGCCCATGGTGCCCGGCACACTTCCAGGTTCAGGGTGCAGGGCCCCTTTAGGTGCGGGGCCCAATTCAGGGGAATCGGGCGAATCAGCCTAAGGCTGGCCCTGAACACGATGATGCACCAAGCAGCTGAGAAACTAATAATACAGGGAAAAATAAACTCTGAGGAGTGAAAAGCTGGTACAGTTCCTAACAAATGGATATAATATATCACTATTCAGGAAGACTGACTGATGTTGAGTTAAGAGAACTTTAGGGTTAGTCCAATGTAGATTATTACTGCAATCCTGCTTGAACTGAATTTCTGCCAGTTCACCTTCCAAGTCTTGGGCTTAATCAGACTCTGGGAAAGCAAAGATGCTCTGTCATCTTCATCTGATGAAAATGAGTCAGAGTTGCATGGCAACCACATTTTGATCTCATTATCTGCCCAGAAACCGAAGTTTGTAAGCTCTTTCAGGATAGGGACATCTTTTTATGTGGAGTGGTATCCAGCATATTCGTGGGAGCCAGATCATGTACATTGAGCAGGAGAGATGTGTGCCTGACCCCCCAAGAAATATCTCGTATGGATTTCCAGACAAGTGATCACTGAGATTAATTCATTTTTTTCTGAGAGGAAAGAAAGAGCACTCAGCTAGCAATATCATCTACATACTTGTGGTCATGTGTCAACAAGACCTTGTGGACAAAGATTTCAAAGACTGTTGACAGATCTAAAAGAATAGGCGTACATATCTGACCTTTAACATTATGAGGAGGTAGTGAACAACCAGTGAGACCAGTGCAATCTCTATAGTGTATGCGGAGGGCAAAAGATGGACTAAAAAGGATCAAGAAAGTCTCTGGACTACCATTGCCACATTCCGACCTTCTCACTGACCTTTCCCAGAAAGCAAAGATAAGAGAGCAGGGTGATAATTGGCAAGGTTGCCAATGTTAACAGATAGTTTATTGAGCAAGGATTTAACAGCCACCTGTTAGTGAGGGAATTGTATTATCCTAAATTCCTGTAAGAAGGCAGTAATCTGAGTCAGGAATTGCCCGCAGTACTTTCCTATTATACAAGCCATGAAGAACACTGATTCAAGCTATTGACCATTGGTTGGAATTCTTCCATTACCCCAAGAACCTGAGCCTCAATCTCACCACCCTCTTAATGCAGTGCAAGAAAACTTCCACAAACTTTTCTCCTGTAACAATGCTAGTGAACAGTCCAGCTTCTTCCTCCTTCAAGACAGCCACTGAGATTATTTAGTTAAGAAAATGGCATGAAATGAATTAGAGCAACAGAGTTTTGGACGGTTAGTGATAGAATTAATATTTGCTATTTCATGTATGTGGTACCCAGTAATATTCTCTCTAAAATTGGTCCTGGGAATAAGGCACTGGACTATGAGTAAGGACACCTGGATTCCATTCCCAGCTTTTCAAATGACCTACTGCTTGAGTTTAATCTAATTAATTGGTTTATGCTTATTATTTATATTGTAGTAGTACCAAAAAGTCCCAAGATCAGGGCACCATACAAAAATTTAGCAAGATACAGTTCCTTCCCCAGAGAGCTTACAGTTGAAATAAACAAGACAAAGCAACAAAAACATTACCACCATTGTACAGATCAGGGAATTGAGGCAGAGTGAGATTAAGATAAGGCCATATATTAAATTGTTGACAGAACTAGAAGATGAATTTGGATCTACTGATTCCTAATCCAGTGCTTGAACCACAAGACCATCCTTGTTCTCTAATCACAACGAGCCTCTAGTTCCCCATCTATAAAACAGAGGTAATACCTGCCCACCTTTGTAAGTGGGACTCCATCACAATCTTCATTTATATGACATGCTGTCTGGTATGATGTAACTTGTGCATTGGGGCACAGTAGAACCCACTGGTCATTGAGGGGTCCTCCCCCCCCATGCAGGAGCCTCACCAGATATTGCTCTGTTACAGCGCTCAGCTACACTTAAGTTCCAGCAGTAGTTATTCATGCTTGTTGATCTGCAGATTAGGCCACAGTGTGTCAAGCAAGATGGTACCTGTCAAACTTTTATGGGTGACCCTGCAGTTTACTGTGCATAGGCTCATGCTATCCTCACATGCAATTAGTTTCAGGATTGATGCCTCTGTGCCTGCTTGATTTTTCATTACAGAACAGCATGGTGCTCTCTGCTGCTATATTTATCACCTTGATCGGCTTGATCATGTATCTGCACTTTGTGAAAATTGACCAGGAGTCCCTGTTAGTCATTGGTTCCCTTGGCATCCAGATGACCTCATCCTATGCTTCCGGCAAGGAGAATACCACCTTCATTGAAATGAGCCAGGTGAAGGACGTGGTCATCAATGAGGCCATCTATATGGTAATCTCCTCATACAGCATTTCTTGTACAGCATAATACTGCATCTGCTATATTTTCCCATGTGCTTGGGGTTAGTGACAGCTGTTTTAACCAGGCAATGGAATGACAGACTTTGTTGTTCAGGCTTGACATTTTTCAGCGGAGGTGGTGTCCTTAGTTTCACCCACATTATGTTCTTTATTCATGATTTCTGTCTGAATCCTCCTGGAAAGAGGATATATAAAATGGCCAGATTCATCCCTGATGGAACAGTGGTTGTAATCTTTCCCTCCTGGGCTATTCTTGTGAGCATTGGTCCTGAGATCAGACATGCCACGTGTTTTATAAATCAGAAGACAGACCATAATAAATCTCATTATTTTTGTGGGTTTCTGATTTTGTTTAAGATCTCATAGGAAAGTAACCTCATCCTTTGTAGTTATTGGGAGTTAATTTTAGATGAAAAGAGTAATATGTGTATGTATTGGGTGACTGTGGAGGAAGGGAGTTGCAGTATCAGTGTACTGTGATGTAAACAGGGCCTTAGAGACTGAGATGCATGATCAGTGTAGTGTTTTGGGATGAAATACGAGGGTTGTGTACATGAGTGGTATGTGTGTTTCCCTGGAGATGTTCCTTTCCAATGTAGACCATGTTCAATTGTGCTTGGCTTATAAGATTTGAAGAGCTCATAGCCCTAGATAGAATCGTTGCAGGAACTTCATTTTCTTCTGAAAATTATTTGAGAGAATGTTTTTGTAATTGATTAGTAAAGAAAAGGGACACATAGCTTGGAAGGAAACAACAGGAAAATCACTTGGAGTTCTTAGCATGATGGTGCAGATCGTAAACATGACCTGCAAAAGAAAAAAAACAACTGAGCTTAGAAACCCCACCCCTCTTCATTTTGATGGATAAAGAAGGCTTGAAAGTCTTTAAAGTTTGTTTTTTCTTGCTTTAAGTATATTTAGGTCTGTTTAGTCTAGAAGACTCTATGTGCTGCTCTAACAACAAAATGTTACCATGTTTGAATACGGTCTTAACAAAATGAGCCCACTAAGAGGAAATCACTGGCATTTGTCAGGACAAATCCTTTCTTGATTCTTTACAATCCTGTTCAATCATGATATAATTGTATAGGAAAGACAAGTCCTGTGATAACTGAACAATTAATTAAATGATATCTGAAGCAAAATGCAGGACAATGTAGCACTTTAAAGACTAACAAGATGGTTTATTAGATGATGAGCTTTCGTGGGCCAGACCCACTTCCTCAGATCAAATAGTGGAAGAAAGTAGTCACAACCATATATACCAAAGGATACAATTAAAAAAAATGAACAAATATGAAAAGGACAAATCACATTGCGGAACAGGAGGGGAATGCAGGGGTGGGGGGGAAGAAGGAAGGTAAGTGTCTGTGAATTGATGATATTAGAGGTAGGGAGAGTGGGATGTTTGTGAGTTAATGGTATTAGAGGTGATAATTGGGGAAACTATCTTAAATGATATCATGAGTCAAAAGGGTAAGAGCAGAAGGAATTTTAGTTTAACTGTTAAAAGACTTTGTTTTTGCTTGTTGTTAATACCTACAGAACTACAGTGACTAATGAACATTTTGGAAAAATGATGCCTTTGTTAAAAATTCAGCATCATCACCCTTTGAGTTAAAGGAAAATAGGCTGCAATATACATACTATCGGAGCCCTAAGAAGTCTTCCAGCAGAACAAGA